GTCCTACAAGGGCCGCATGCTCTCCCTTATAAACTGAGATAGATAAATCTTTGAATAGCGGTTTGTCTCCAAAGCTTAAGGAGACATTTTTCAGAAAGAGAAGCGGGGGAGCAGACATTTTATCGTTATTTTTTTGAGAGTGTCCTGGTTGTTAATATTTATGCGGCATCATTTGTTTGTGACTGTGAAGCTTGCTCTTTTTCTTGCATTTCCTTGCTGCGGACATAACGCATAATTTCTGCCATAGCGCTAAAGCGAGACATGTCTGTCATGCGCATGGGATACAAAATGCCATCCAAATGATCACATTCGTGCTGAAGAACACGTGCGTGAAACCCCTTTGCCTCAAAATCGACTTTTTCACCAGCCTGATTAAACGCTGTGCAGCGAATATGGTTATAACGAGGAACTTCCCCCATAACATCAGGGAGAGAAAGGCATGCCTCCCATCCAAGCTCTTTTTCTTCACCTAAGGGTTCCAGAACAGGATTGATCAAAAATGTGGGGGGTACCCCTTCGGGAGTATAATTATCAGCGCGTTCTTTTGGGACTTCGTAAAAAATGATACGCTTTGAAATATAGACTTGTGGGGCGGCAAGTCCTGCGACAGGGCCAAAATCATCTAAAGTGTCAATCATGTCTTGAATGATTTTCTGCGTCTCAGGGGATTTCGGATCTTCAATTTCTTCTGCTCTTTGTTGCAAAATAGGATGGCCCATTCGGGCGATTTTTAAAATCATATGACGTAACCTGTTACCCACTTTAAAATCTCGTTACTGTAGATCAAAAAACATTGGGGAGAAAAGATTTTTCTTTAAGCCTAGGCGTGTTAAGATTCTTTAACAAAAAGTTTTGAGGGAGTATTTAGCCTTATGAGCCCTAACACGTCAGGAAAAGCAGAAGTACGTAAGACTTTGAAAGTAGGGGATCGTTCCTACCAAATCTATAGCTTAAAGGCTTTAGAAAGCCGATATGGTGATTTGTCAAAGCTCCCTTTTAGTTTAAAAATTTTATTTGAAAACCTGTTGCGCCACTTTGATGGTAAAACGGTGACAGATAAAGATCTGGACGTTT